TGTGGAAGGCCAGCTGGTATTTGGCAGCGTTGGTGACGGCCTGAGCATCAGCGAGAGACCCGGCCATACAGCAAAACACACGCTCGTCCACCTGCACCACCTTGTTAATGATCCGCGAGCAGACGTACGTCCTGTAATGTACACACAGGAGGGAGTCAGAGGTCACAGGAGGGGGGGGAGAGGAGGAGGAGGGGTGGGAGGGGAAGGTGGGAAGAAGTAAGAGGAGGGGGAGGAGGGGAAGGAGGAGGGGGAATGGAGGAAGAGCGGTAAGAGTTGCTGGAGGAGGAGGAGGGGAGGAGGAGGGGCGAGAGGGGAGGGGGAGAAGTAAGAGGAGGGGGAGGAGGGGGCAAGGGGAAGGAGGAAGAGGGGGAGGAGGGGCAGGGGGGAGGAGGAGCGGGAGGGGGAGGGGAGGAGGGGAGCCGAAGAGGAAGTGGAGAGGAGAAAGAGGAGGGGGGGGAGGTCACTTACCCCCCACAGACACACGTGAGTCTGAAGCAACAATCACCCCTCCATTGAACTCCACAGCGATGATGGTCGTCTGTAAGACAGGCACAAAGAGAGTTACACCTAATATCTCAGTGGTTGGACCACTCGCTCCGAAAGCCGAGGAACTGGGTTTGATTCCGGGCAGATCCGCTCCACCCACAGTCACAGCGTAGAGCAAACAGAGACCCGGGGCGAGTGCACTGTGTATGTACAGGTTTGCTACGGATGAGGGAGTTTTAGCCGATTTCACAGAAAAAGTGAGGCCACATTTTTCTATTGGCCCAGAAAATCGGGGGGGGGGGAGCGGGTGTGGGGCGAGGGGTGTGTGGGGTGCATGGGGTCTCCTGTAAGGAGGGTCTCCTCTGAGTTGAACTGGCTCCAAGGTGACATGTTTGGCCACAGAATGTCAGCATTGATCCCACCCTCTGTGCTGGTCTCGAGTCCCGGTTCCTGAGCCAGGAGGGGCCGCAGTGTCCCAGGGCACTCACTGCTGATGTCAGCCCGGCCCGGCCTGGGACAGGTCATTGGGACAGGGAATCCTCCCCCTCAGCTCCTGTTAACCCCACAACCAAAGCCCTAATGGTCCGAGTGGGACACGTGGTGGGAAAGGTTTTCCAGGCAGTGCTCTCAATGGCGAGCTCGGTGGCTTTAGCTGGTTGGACTCCAGCAGTTACTCTAACACCCACTCTGGCTGCCTCAGCCTTGGCTCTCAGTAGCAACTCATACCCTCCAGAATCAGATAAACACGATGCATCCCTCCAGGAAGAAAGGACACTTTCCATTCCAACAACATGTCTGGAATTTCCATATGTCAGTGGGAAGCACGGAATTCTCAGTTTGGTTTGGATTCTCTGAGGCGCGGTGATGGGTTTCCGCACGTACCCGGCTGATTTAAGGAATTAGGGTAACTGACACGTATGGAAACCGGTCACTGAGCTTAAGAATCTCCAAACCACAGAGAGTCCCACATTAGTGATAACCTTAATCCTGTGAAGTGGTTTGAGACGTACTCCTAAACTGAAAGGCACTATATGAAGATTAAGGTTTATTATTAATATACATCTCCCTGTGACTGAAATGGAAAGCGCTGCCTCCCATTGGAGAGACATAATGACATAGAGGATGAGGCCCAGGTCAGTGAGAGCTGAGGTTTGGGGAACCCCACTTTATTGTACAGCTCGGACAACACAACCCCAATCACAGGCGAGACACCACCCACCTGCCACCACCCACCAACCAACCACTCACCAATCACCAGACACTAACCACCCACCAAAAATCCACCCACTACCAAACACCAACCACCCATCATCCACCAACCACCCACAAACCAACCATCCACCACCCACCATCCACCAACTACCCACCCACCACCAACCTTCAACAACCACTAACCACCCTCCACCCACCAACAATCAACCACCCACCAACCACCCACCAACTAACAACCACCCATCACCCATCCATCAACCACCAACTATCAACCAACCACCCATCAACCACCCGCCCACCCAACACTAACCACCAACCAATCACTAACCACATACTAACCAATAACCAATCACCCACCAACCATCCACCAATCAACCACGAACCACCCACCAATGACCAATCATCCACCACCCACCAAACAACAACCATGGACCAACCACCCAGCAACCCCCCATCACCCTCCCACCAACCAACCACCAACCAAGCCCTAACGACCCCCACCAACCACCACCCACCAACCACCCATCAACCACCAACTCATCGACCCACCATCACCTACCAACCACCCACCAACCACCCACCCATCACCTACCAATCACCCACCAACCACCCATCAACCACCAACTCATCGACCCACCATCACCTACCAATCACCCACCAACCAAACACCAATAAACCACCAACCAACCACCCATCAACCACCGATTGTCAACCACCAACCACCCACCAACCAGCAACCACCCACCACCCATACATCATACACCAACCAATCAATCACCAACCAACCACCAACCACTGAACCAACCACCATCCACCCACCAACGACCAACTACCCACCGACCACCAACCAAACAATAACCACGGCCCAACCATCCACCACACACCAACCAACTACCAAATGTCAACCAGTAACCAACCACCCACCACCCATACATCATACATCAACCAATCAATCACCAACCAACCACTGAACCAACCACCATCCACCCACCAACGACCAACTACCCACCGACCACCAACCAAACAATAACCACGGCCCAACCATCCACCACACACCAACCAACCACCAACCAACTACCAAATGTCAACCAGTAACCAACCACCCACCACCCATACATCATACATCAACCAATCACCCACTAACCACCCACCATCCACTAATCAATGACCAACCACCGAACCAGCCACCAACCACCCACCGACCACCCACAAAACAACAATTATGGACCACCCACCAACCACCAATCACCCACCAAACACCCAACACCTACCAACCAACCATCAACTAACCACCTACCAACCACCCAACCACCCACCCAACAACCACCCACGAACCACCCACCATCCACTAATCAACCACCAACCACTGAACCAGCAACCAACCACCCATCATCCACTCACCAACGACCAACCACCCACCACCACTAATTACCCACCTACCAACCAACCAACCACCCACCAACCAAACACTAACCACCAACCAACAACTACCAACTACCCATCAACCAACCACCCACCAACCACCACCCACCAAGCACCTACCCAACAACCACGAATCATCCTCCACCCACCAACCACCCACCCACCCAACAACCACCCATGAACCACAAACCATCCACCCATCCACCAGTGCAGGAGTGATTATGAAACAACTATTAATTCACATGATGTTTATTGCAGGTCACGACAGTGAAAATGCAGACAGAGATTAATGTAGTGAATGTGCACGCTGATAGTCACTGTGGTGAGTGTGCACACTGGCTGACAGGTCACTGTGGTGAGTGTGTACACTGGCTGACAGGTCACTGTGGTGAGTGTGAAAACTGACAGGTCACTGTGGTGAGTGTACACACTGGCTGACAGGTCACTGTGGTGAGTGTGAAAACTGACAGGTCACTGTGGTGAGTGTACACACTGGCTGACAGGTCACTGTGGTGAGTGTGCACACTGACAGATCACTGTGGTGATTGTGCACACAGGCTGACAGGTCACTCAGAGAAGAACTGGGGCAGTTTGTTGCCGGGGATGATGCTGCGTTCCACTCCGCGCTCTGTCACGATCACCAGGTTCACCAAACCTCCGCTCACGTTATCTCGCTCCATGGCCAGAGCCAGGGCTGGAAACACACACACAAGAGTATCAGTGCTCGGGGACACGTGAAACATAAACATGCCAGAGATTCTTTGCTCATCACTAAACTGTGTCATGAATTCACCGTTAAAACAACTGCACTGATAGTCTGGAATATTGAGTGTGCGAGGCTCACTTACTGTGGATGACTGAGTGTGCAAGGCTCAAGTGGATTGCTGAGTGTGAGGCTCACAGTGGATGATGGAGTGTGCATAGAATCATAGAAGATTACAGCACAGAAGGAGGCCATTCGGCCCACTGTGCCTGTGCCGGCTCTTTGGAAGAGCTACCCAATCAGTCCCACTTCCTCAATCTTTCCTTAAGTCCTTGGAAAGATTTCCTTTTCAAATACCTATCTAATTCCCTTTTGAACACTCTGCGTAAAAATATTTCTCCTCATCTCTCCTCTGGTTCCCTCATAATTTTGGACACCTCTATTAAATCTCCCATTAACCTTCTCTGCTCTAAGGAGATCAATCCCAGCTTCTCTTGTCTCTCCACATAATTGTAGTCCCTCATCCCTGGTACCATTCCGGTAAATCTCCTTGGTGGTTGCAACACCTCCAAGGCCTTGATATCCTTCCTAGAGTGTGCAGCCCAGAAATGGACACAATATTCCAGCTGAGACCTAAACAGTGACTTATGACTAATTTTCAGCAAAACTTCCTCGTTTTTGTACTTTGTGCCTCTATTTATGAAGCCAAGGCTCTCATATGCTTTTTTTAACAGTTGCGTCAACCTGTCCTGTCACCTTCAAATATTTGTGTATGTGATCCCCCAGGTCTCTTTGCTCCCGAAACGCCTTTAAGACAGTACCATTTATTATATATTGCATCTTACTCCAAAGATCACCTCAAACTTCTCTTCATTAAACTTTATCTGCCATGTGTCTGCCCATTTCACCAGTCTGTCTCTGTCCTCCTGCAGTCTGCTACCACCCTCCTCAATGTTGACTACCTTCCCAAGTTTTGTGTCATCTGCAAATTTTAAATTTTTTGCTCTTTATACCACGTCCAAATGCAAGGCTCAGTGACAGTGGATTACTGAATGTGCAAGGCTCCCAGTGGATTACTGGGTGTACAAAGATCCCAGTGGATTGCTGAGTGTGCAAGGCTGCCAGTAGATTACTGAGTGTGCAAAGCTTACACTGAATTACTGAGTGTGCAAGACTCCCAGTGAATTACTGAGTGTACAAAGTTCCCAGTGGATTGACGAGTATGCGAAGCTCACTCACCGTTGACGGTAAAATGTAAACATTCCTCTTGAGTCATCCCAATCTTGAAAGCCGAGTCCACGTAACCATAAATATAGGTACTGCCCGACCCGCCCACAGTGAAGGGCTGTTTCGTGATCATCCCCCCCAGAGACACCGTGTAAACCTAAGAGAGACACACAGTGAGATCAGTGACAGTCACTGTGTAACCTGAGAGACACACATTGTGATCAGTGACAGACACTGTGTAAACCTGAGCAACACACAGTGTGATCAGTGATAGATACTGTGTAAACCTGAGAGACACACAGTGTGATCAGTGACAGACACTGTGTAAACCTGAGAGACACATTGTGATCAGTGTCAGAGACTGTGTAAACCTGAGGGAGACACACAGTGTGATCAGTGACAGACACTGTGTAAACCTGAGAGACACAGTGTGATCAGTGACAGACACTGTGTAAACCTGAGAGACACAGTGTGATAAGTGATAGACACTGTATAAACCCGAGAGACACACATTGTGATCAGTGACAGACACTGTGTAAACCTGAGAGACACAGTGTGATCAGTGACAGACACTGTGTAAACCTGAGAGACACAGTGTGATCAGTGATAGACACTGTATAAACCTGAGAGACACACATTGTGATCAGTGACAGACACTGTGTAAACCTGAGAGACACAGTGTGATAAGTGATAGACACTGTATAAACCCGAGAGAGACACAGTGTGATCAGTGACAGACACTGTGTAAACCTGAGAGAGACACACAGTGTAATCAGTGACAGACACTGTGTAAACCTGAGAGACACAGTGTGATAAGTGATAGACACTGTATAAACCCGAGAGACACACATTGTGATCAGTGACAGATACTGTGTAAACCTGAGAGAGACACACAGTGAGATCAGTGACAGATACTGTGTAAACCTGAGAGAGACACACTGTGTGATCAGTGACAGACACTGTGTAAACCTGAGAGAGACACACAGTGTGATCAGTGACAGACACTGTATAAACCTGAGAGCGACGCACAGTGTGATCAGTGACAGACACTGTATAAACCTGAGAGCGACACAGAGCGATCAGTGACAGACACTGTATAAACCTGAGAGAGACACACAGTGTGATCAGTGACAGACACTGTATAAACCTGAGAGCGACACAGAGCGATCAGTGACAGACACTGTATAAACCTGAGAGAGACACACAGTGTGATCAGTGACAGACACTGTATAAACCTGAGAGCGACACCGAGCGATCAGTGACAGACACTGTATAAACCTGAGAGAGACACAGTGTGATCAGTGACAGACACTGTATAAACCTGAGAGAGACACACAGTGTGATCAGTGACAGACACTGCATAAACCTGAGAGACACACATTGTGATCAGTGACAGACACTGTATAAACCTGAGAGACACACATTGTGATCAGTGACAGACACTGTATAAACCTGAGAGACACAGTGTGATCAGTGACAGACACTGTGTAAACCTGAGAGACACACAGTGTGATCAGTGACAGACACTGTGTAAACCTGAGAGACACACAGTGTGATCAGTGACAGACACTGTGTAAACCTGAGAGACACACAGTGTGATCAGTGACAGACACTGTGTAAACCTGAGAGACACAGTGTGATCAGTGACAGACACTGTGTAAACCAGAGAGAGACACAGTGTGATCAGTGACAGACACTGTGTAAACCTGAGAGACACACATGGCGATCAGTGACAGACACTGTGTCAACCTGAGAGAGACACACAGTGTGATCAGTGACAGACACTGTAAACCAGAGAGAGACACATTGTGATCAGTGACAGACACTGTGTAAACCTGAGAGACACACATTGTGATCAGTGACAGACACTGTGTAAACCTGAGAGAGACACATTGTGATCAGTGACAGACACTGTGTAAACCTGAGAGACACACATTGTGATCAGTGACAGACACTGTGTAAACCTGAGAGACACACAGTGTGATCAGTGACAGATACTGTGTAAACCTGAGAGAGACACACTGTGTGATCAGTGACAGACACTGTGTAAACCTGAGAGACACACAGTGTGATCAGTGACAGACACTGTGTAAACCAGAGAGACACACAGTGTGATCAGTGACAGACACTGTATAAACCTGAGAGCGACGCACAGTGTGATCAGTGACAGCCACTGTATAAACCTGAGAGCGACACAGAGCGATCAGTGACAGACACTGTATAAACCTGAGAGCGACACAGAGCGATCAGTGACAGACACTGTATAAAACTGAGAGACACAGTGTGATCAGTGACAGACACTGTATAAACCTGAGAGCGACACAGAGCGATCAGTGACAGACACTGTATAAACCTGAGAGAGACACACAGTGTGATCAGTGACAGACACTGTATAAACCTGAGAGACACACATTGTGATCAGTGGCAGACACTGTGTAAACCTGAGAGACACACACAGTGTGATCAGTGACAGACACTGTATAAACCTGAGAGACACACATTGTGATCAGTGATAGACACTGTATAAACCTGAGAGACACACATTGTGATCAGTGACAGACACTGTATAAACCTGAGAGACACACAGTGTGATCAGTGACAGACACTGTATAAACCTGAGAGACACACATTGTGATCAGTGACAGACACTGTATAAACCTGAGAGACACACATTGTGATCAGTGACAGACACTGTATAAACCTGAGAGACACAGTGTGATCAGTGACAGACACTGTGTAAACCTGAGTGACACACATGGTGATCAGTGACAGACACTGTGTCAACCTGAGAGAGACACACAGTGTGATCAGTGACAGACACTGTAAACCAGAGAGAGACACATTGTGATCAGTGACAGACACTGTGTAAACCTGAGAGACACACATTGTGATCAGTGACAGACACTGTGTAAACCTGAGAGACACACAGTGTGATCAGTGACAGACACTGTATAAACCTGAGAGACACACAGTGTGATCAGTGACAGACACTGTGTAAACCTGAGAGACACACAGTGTGATCAGTGACAGACACTGTGTAAACCCGAGAGACACACACAGTGCGATCAGTGACAGACACTGTGTAAACCTGAGAGACACACAGTGTGATCAGTGACAGACACTGTGTAAACGTCATGGAAACACAGTGTTTACCTCTGAGGGAGACAGTGTCATGTCAGTGTAATAGTGTCTGACTGTATCCCCTGTCAGTAGGTCTCAGTGTAATAGTGTGACTATAGCCCTGTGGGAGGGCAGTGGGTCTGCCTGTACCTGGGCTCCTTTCTTCCGGTCCCACCCGGCCACGATGAATCCGGCCGACATGTCGTCCCGATTTTTATAGCAGATTTCCTTCAGGATCGTCGCAGCGAGAGTACGAGGGGCGGCTCCCCCATCTCCACACTGCAAACACCACACACTAACAGTGAGTACACAATCAGTGTGCAATCTCCCCATCTCCACACTGCAAACACCACACACTAATAGTGAGTGCACAATCCGTGTGCAACCTCCCCATCTCCACTGCAAACACCACAATACTGTGAGTGATGCCTGTCAGTCACACTGTGGGTGATGCCTGTCAGTGAGACTGTGACTCCTGTCAGTCAGACTGTGAGTGATACCTGTCAGTCAGACTGTGAGTGATGCCTGTCAGTCGGACCGTGAGTGATGCCTATCAGTCGGATTGTGAGTGACACCTGTCAGTCAGACTGTGAGTGATGCCTGTCAGTCGGACTGTGAGTGATGCCTGTCAGTCAGACTGTGAGTGATGCCTATCAGTCGGATTGTGAGTGACACCTGTCAGTCGGACTGTGAGTGACGCCTGTCAATCGGACTGTGAGTGACGCCTGCCAGTCAGACTGTGAGTGATGCCTGTCAGTTAGACTGTGAGTGACGTCTGTCAGTGAGACTGTGACGCCTGCCAGTCAGACTGTGAGTGACACCTGTGAGTCAGACTGTGAGTGATGCCTGTCAGTCGGACCATGAGTGATGCCTGTCAGTCGGATTGTGAGTGACACCTGTCAGTCGGACTGTGAGTGACGCCTGTCAATCGGACTGTGAGTGACGCCTGTCAGTCAGACTGTGACACCTGTGAGTCAGACTGTGAGTGACGCCTGTCAGTCGGACTGTGAGTGACGCCTGTCAGTCAGACTGTGAGTGACGCCTGTTGGCGGGGGTTCTGACCTGTGGAAGGCCAGCTGGTATTTGGCAGCGTTGGTGACGGCCTGAGCATCAGCGAGAGACCCGGCCATACAGCAAAACACACGCTCGTCCACCTGCACCACCTTGTTAATGATCCGCGAGCAGACGTACGTCCTGTAATGTACACACAGGAGGGAGTCAGAGGTCACAGGAGAGGGGGGGGAGAGGAGGAGGAGGGGTGGGAGGGGAAGGTGGGAAGAAGTAAGCGGAGGGGGAGGAGGGGAAGGAGGAGGGGGAGTGGAGGAAGAGCGGTAAGAGTTGCTGGAGGAGGAGGAGGGGAGGAGGAGGGGAGAGAGCGGGAGGTGGGGAGAAGTAAGAGGAGGGGGAGGAGGGGGCGAGGGGAAGGAGGAAGACGGGGAGGAGGGGCAGGAGGAGGAGGAGGAGCGGGAGGGGGAGGGGAGGAGGGGAGCCGAGGAGGAAGTGGAGAGGAGAAAGAGGAGGGGGGGAGGGAGGTCACTTACCCCCCCACAGACACACGTGAGTCTGAAGCAACAATCACCCCTCCATTGAACTCCACAGCGATGATGGTCGTCTGTAAGACAGGCACAAAGAGAGTTACACCTAATATCTCAGTGGTTAGACCACTCGCTCCGAAAGCCCGAGGAACTGGGTTTGATTCCCGGGCAGATCAGGGCGAAATGTTGGCCAAGTTTCCTTCCTCCGCACAGACACGCGCCTCAGTTTACCAGCGGTAGGTAGGAACTCGCTTGCTAATCGATTGGTGAATCGCTTTTCCGGGGGCAATAATTGCCTTCAAAAACAACAATAATAAATTGGTCACTCAATCCACGGCTGTTTGTTGGACGCTGCTGTGCGCAATTGGCTGCCGTGTTTCACCCACAAAACATACAGTCACTTCACTTTACAGTATATCCTGTGAAGCGCTTTGAGACGTCTCGAAGACGTGATAAGGCGCTGTACCAAACCAAGGATTATTATTATTCATAACCTTACCTAACAAATATTTATCCACCTCAGCCTTAAAAGTTTGAATGGATCCAGCAACCACAGGCTTTTGGGGGAGAGAGTCCCCGATGCCCATGACCCTGGGGGTGAAAACCTGGCCCTGATTTCCCCCCTAAACGGCCTGGCCCTCATGTGCAGATGACGCCCCTTGTTCTGGATTCCCCACCAGAGGGAATAGTGTCTCTGTCGCTCCCGATCCAATCCCTTTATTATCTTCAACACCTCAATCAGATCAACCCCAACCCGCACACCTCAAGGGAATACAGACCGAGCTCGTGCAGCCTGGCCTCGGAACTTAACCTATTAAGGCCTGGGATCATTGTCAGTGTGGAATCCTGTAGCTCAGTGGTTAGAGCACTCGCTTTGCAAGTGAGAGACCTGAGTTTAATTCCAGGCAGAGGGCGAAACTTTGGGCAAGTTTCCTTACTCCACACAGAGCCCTAATAATAGTCCCTCCAAAACCAAAAACAATAATAAATTGGTCATTTTCAATCCACGGCTGTTTGTGGGACATTGCTGTGCATAATTGGCTGTCGCGTTCGCCCACAAATATACAGTCAATTCACTTTACAGTGTGTTCTGTGAAGCGCTTTGGGACGTCCTCCCGACGTGAAAAGTGCTATGTCAAATGCAAGGATCATTATTATTATTATTATTATTGTGGTGATTCTGTGCTGCACCCCCACCCCCCAGTGCCAATACATCCTTCCTGAGGTGGGGGACTGAACGCAGTCTCCAGATGGGGTCTGACTGAGGCTCAATATAGTTCAAGCCTCATTTCTTCTCCTTTATATTCCAGGCCCTGGAGATAAAGGCCAACATCCCATTAGCCTTTTTGGATAACGTTTGTACCTGTGAGCTTGTTTTCAGTGAGTTGTGTAAGTGGACACCCAAATCCCTTTGCTCCTCCAGTTCTTAAGTTTCTCACCGTTTAGAAAATATTCTGTTTTGCTGTGTTTGGATCCACAGTGGTGACCTCACACTTCCCCACATTGAATTCCATCTGCCACAGTGTTGCCCACTCACTTAATCTGTTTAAATCCCTTTGTAATTTCCTGCTCCCGTCTATACAACTCACTGTGTCCCTAAGTTTGTGTCATCTGCAAATTTTGGTATAAAACTCTCTGTTCCTTCATCCAGTCATTTATATATATATTATATAACTATATGGTGAAAAGCTGAGGCCCCAGTACAGGGCCCTGGGAAACACCACTCGTCATGTCCCGCCAATCAGAGAATGGTTATCCCGACTCTGTTTCCTGTCTCCCAACCAATTTCCAGGCCACACCACGAGGTTACCTCTGATTCCAGGCCCTTTCAGATTTGCTCATAACCTCTTGTGCAGAACCTTATCAAATGCCTCTGAAAGTCCGTGTAGACGATATCCACAGACACTCTCTTGTCCACCATGTGACGGACCTCCTCAAAACATTCTGTTAGATTCGTCAGCCGTGCCCTACCCTTCCCAATCCACGGACTCTCTCTGATCAGCTCAGACTTGGCCAACTGCTCCGTCACTCTGTCCCTGATAGAGATTCCAGTAACTGCCCCATAACTGAGGTTAAGCTGCCGGGTCTGTAGTTACCTGGTTTCTCCCTCCCTCCCGTCTTACATAATGGACTGACATTGCCATTTCCCAATCGAAGGTCACAATTCCTGAATACAGAGCTTTGCAAATTGATGACAAACACATCTGCAATTCCCAACCCTATTTATTTTAATATCCAGGGGTGGAATCCAGCAGATCCTGGAGATTTGTCTATTTTTAGTCCCATTATTTTCTCCATAACCATGTTTTATTCATATTAAATCCCTGTAGTACTTCTCTTTGGCTTATTTTTAGATTCCCTTGTACCGCTGGTATTTTGTCCTCTTCCTCTACTGTGAAAGCGAAAGCAAACTATACATTCAACAGTTCTGCCATTTTCTTATTATCAATAAATCGTCATTTACATCTGTCTTTAATGGGCACTTTCCCCTCCACCATCTCTTTCTCTTAACATATTGATAGAAACCTTACCCTTTCCCTTGACATCTCTTGCAAGTGTTTTTTAAATCATATTTACTTTTTGCACTACTTATTACTTTTGTTTTGTGTTTAGGGGATGTACTGTGTTTTTTACTGTACCAAATACATTGAATAATTCCCACTGTGTGTCTGTGTGTTTCCCATTAACACTTAATAACCCAAATTAATTGATTTCTCATCCCTTTGAAGTTTACCATATTTCAATGTAAAACCTTAGTTTGTGACTCTCCCGTTTCCCTCTCAAACCCTTCACCAAAACTTCAATCGTATTAAAGTCACTATTGACCCCAATGTCGGATTGGAACTGAAGGCAATTTGTGCGGTTTTAGCTGTTTGGACTCGAGCGAACTCCGGACTTCCCAAACCTCGGCTCTGACCAACATTCATCCAATGCAGATAATAGGGAGAGGGGGAGAGTGTGAGGGGAGAGAGGGGGGGGGGGGAGAGGGGAGAGTGTGAGGGGAGAGAGAGAGGGGGGGGAGAGTGTGAGGGGAGAGAGAGAGGGGGGGGGAAGAGGGGGACAGTGTGAGGGGAGGGAGAAGGGGGGAGAGTGTGAGGGGAGGGAGAGGGGGAGAGTGTGAGGGAGAGAGAGGGGGGGAGAGTGTGAGGGGAGGGAGAGGGGGAGAGTGTGAGGGGAGAGAGAGGGGGGGAGAGTGTGAGGGGAGAGAGGGGGGAGAGGAGGAGCGTGTGAGGGGAGAGGGAGAGGGGGGCCCCCGAGAGTGTGAGGGGAGAGAGAGAGAGAGAGGAGGAGAGTGTGAGGGGAGAGAGAGAGAAGGGGGGAGAGGGGGACAGTGTGAGGGGAGGGAGAGGGGGAGAGTGTGAGGGGAGAGAAGGGGAGAGTGTGAGGGAGAGAGAGGGGGGGAGAGTGTGAGGGGAGAGAGAGAGAGGGGGGAAGAGGGGGACAGTGTGAGGGGAGGGAGAAGGGGGACAGTGTGAGGGGAGGGAGAGGGGGAGAGTGTGAGGGGAAGGAGAGAGAGTGTGAGGGGAGAGAGAGTGAGGGAGAGTGTGAGGGGAGAGAGAGAGGGAGAGGGGGAGAGTGTGAGGGGAGAGAGAGAGAGAGAGAGGGGGAGAGTGTGAGGGGAGAGGGAGCGGGAGATCATCCCAGACCAGGAGCCATGTGTAGCCGAGTTACTGGTCTCTCATCACCTGGTGAAGCAGCGACACCCCCCACCACCCCCGGGACCCCCCACCCCGGGACCCCCCTCCCCCGGGACCCCCTCCCGCGGGACCTCTCCCCCGGGACCCCCCGCCCCCGGGAACCCCGCTCACCCCCCTCCCCCGGGACCCCCTCCCCCGGGATCCCTCCCGCGGGACCTCTCCCCCCGGACCCCCGTTCACCCCCCGTCGTCGTCCCCCGGGACCCCCCGCCCCCCCCGCCCCGGGAACCCCCGTTCACCCCCCGTCCCCCCCCTCCTCCGAGATCCCCCCGGGACCCCCCCCGGGACCCCCCCCGGGACCCCCCCCCCCCGGGACCCCCCGCTCACTCCGGTGCTGTAGGCGCTCGATCTCCAGTCTGAGTTGTGGGAGAAGTTGGACATTTCTGCGGGAAGTCACTGATCTCCGCTCCGACTGAGCGGTGCGGAACCGCGGTCCGGAACAGCGCCGTCTGGCGGCCACTCACTGAGTCACACCCCCACCCGCACACACCCTGTAGCGCCCCCTGGCGGCCACTCACTGAGTCACACCCCCAACCGCACACACCCTGTAGCGCCCCCTGGCGGCCACTCACACCCCCACCCACACACACCCTGTAGCGCCCCCTGGCGGCCACTCACTGAGTCACACCCCCACCCGCACACACCCTATTGCGCCCCCTGGCGGTCACTCACACCCACACACACACACGCACCCACCCACCCCCCCCCACACACACACCCACATACTCACCCACACACACCCACACACACACCCCCCACACACACCCCCCCCCCCACACACACACCCACACACTCACCCACACACACACACCCACACACACACCCCCCCCCCCACACACACACACCCACACACACACCCCCACCCACCACACACACCCTGTAGCGCCCCCTGGCGGTCACACACACACACACACACCCCCACACACACCCACACACTCACCCACACACACACACCCACCCCCCCCCACACACACACCCACACCCCCACCCACACACACCCCCACCCGCACACACCCCCCTCCCCACACACACACACACCCCCACCCACACACACCCCCACCCGCACACACCCCCCTCCCCACACACACACACACCCCCACCCACACACACACACCCACCAACACACCTACACACACACCCCCACCCACACACACAGCCCCCCCCACACACACACACCCTGTAGCGCCCCCTGGCGGCCACTCACTGAGTCACCCCCCCACTCACACACACCCTGAAGCGCCCCCTGGCGCCCTCTCTCACACTCACTCACAGCCTCAGCCGCTCCGCCACCACTGACTGAGTTCATTGCAGTTAAAACACTTTATCCATAATCTGAAAACAGTGACACATTCGGGATTCATTTTTATTATTTGCTGTTTCAAAGCCATTAAATAGTGCAACAGCCGAACAATTAATATCAGTCTCTGTCACCACTCCCCCCACCCCACCCCCCCACACACAGAGAGGCACAGAGTGTCACCACTCCCCCCCCCCCCCCCCCACACACACACACAGAGGCACAAAATATAACACACACAGAGGGTCACACACACAGAGAGTCACACACACACAGACACAGAGAGTCACACAGAGACTCTGACAGAGTCGGTGACTGTGGGGGCGACAGGAGGCGCTGAGTCCGCGAGTCCCGGACTGAGGAGGAGCGGCTCAGAGAGTGTGAAACCGAAACAGAAAAACAGAGACAGAGACAGACAGAGCGAGAGGGACACAGACAGAGAGACAGACAGAGCGAGAGGGACACAGACAGAGAGACAGACAGAGCGAGAGGGACACAGACAGAGAGAGAGACAGAGCGAGAGGGACACAGACAGAGAGAGAGACAGAGCGAGAGGGACACAGACAGAGAGAGACAGAGCGAGAGGGACACAGACAGAGAGAGAGACAGAGGGACAGGGACACAGACACAGACAGGGACACAGGACAGAGACACAGAGTCAGGGACACAGGGACTGAGAGAGACAGAGACTCGGTGTCAGGGACAGACAGATAGTCTGAAGGGAGAAGATGTTCACGGCGGCGGTGGAAGCGACTGGAGGCGGATTTCAGTTTGAAAACTGTAGCAGGTGATGTCTGAGCACAACCCGTGTCTGGGGGGGGGGGGGGGTGAGGAGTGGGGAGCGGGTGAGAGGCGTGAGGGGGGAGTGAGGGTGAGGAGTGGGGAGGGAGTGAGAGGCGTGAGGGGGAGTGGGGAGGGGTGATGGGCGTGAGGGGGGGAGTGGGGGTGAGCAGTGGTGGGGGGAGAGAGTGGGGGGGAGGAGTGGGAGGGCGTGAGGGGGGAGGGGGTGAGGGGTGTGAGGGGGAGTGGGGGTGAACAGTGGGGGGGGGAGAGAGTGGGGGGGAGGAGTGGGGAGGGCGTGAGGGGGGAGGGGCTGAGGCGTGTGAGGGGGAGTGGGGGTGAACAGTGGGGGGGGAGAGAGTGGGGTGAGGAGTGGGGAGGGCGTGAGGGGGGAGGGGTGAGGGGTGTGAGGGGGGAGTGGGGGTGAGGAGTGCGGAGGGGTGTAGGGGTGAGGAGTGGGGAGGGGGTGAGGGGCAGTAGGGGTGAGGAGGGGCGTGAGTGGGGAGGGGTTATGGGCGTGAGGGGGAGTGGGGGTGAGGAGTGGGGAGTGGGGTGGAGAGGGTGGAGTGGGGAGGGGTGATGGGCGAGAGGGGGAGTGGGGGTGACGAGTGGGGGGGGGGAGTGGGAGTGAGGAGTGGGGGTAGGGGTGATGGAGTGGGGGTGAGGAGTGGGGAGGGGGAGTGGGGTTGGGGAGGGGTGATGGGCGTGAGGGAGGAGTGGGGGTGACGAGTGGGAGGGGGGGTTTGTGAGGGGGAATGGGGCGGAGGAGTGGGGAGGGGGTGTGGGGCGTGAGGGGGTGAGTAGTGGGTGAGGAGGGGTGAGCAGGGTGAGGGGGAGTAAGTGAGGGGGTTGAGAGGGATCAGGGGGAGGCGAGGAGGTGGGTGAAGGGGGGAGGAGCGGGAGGGGGTGAGGAAGAGGGTGAGGGGGGCGAGGGGGTGGTTGGGGGAGTGAGGAGGGCTGAGGGGAGGTGAGTAGGGTGAGGGGGGAGATGGGGTGAGGGGGCGTGAGGAGGGAGAGGGAGTGAGGAGGGGGAGGAGTGGGAGGGGGGGGGAGGGATGGTGGGGTCAGGCTGAGCCTCTCTGTTCCCGGAACCTGCGGCCAAAACTCCAGCCCGACATTTACTTTCACTTCACACAGGAACACAGAGACATAACCTGTGTCACATAGAGACACAGAGACAGAGACACACAGAGACAGAGAGATACAGAGACACAGAGAGAGAGATACAGAGATACACAGAAATACAGAGACACAGAGAGATACAGAGACAGAGATACAGAGACAGAGAGACACAGAGACAGAGAGAGATACAGAGAGACACAGAGATAAAGGGACATAGAGACATAACCTGTGTCACATAGAGACACAGAGACAGAGACACACAGAGACAGAGAGATACAGAGACACAGAGAGAGAGATACAGAGACAGAGATACACAGAGATACAGAGACAGAGACACACAGAGACAGAGAGATACAGAGACACAGAGGGAGAGATACAGAGACAGAGATACACAGAGATACAGACACAGAGAGAGATACAGAGACAGAGATACACAAAGATACAGAGAGACACAGAGACAGAGAGAGATACCAAGAAAGAGATACAGAGACAGATATACAGAGAAACGTAACCTGTGTCACACAGAGTCAGAGATACAGAGACAGAGAGATATAGAGACAGAGAGAGATACAGAGAGACACAGAGATAAAGGGACATAGAGACATAACCTGTGTCACATAGAGACACAGAGACAGAGAGATACAGAGACAGAGCGATACAGAGAAAGAGAGAGAGACAGAGAGACACAGAGATAAAGGGACATAGAGACATAACATGTGTCACATAGAGACACAGAGATGTACAGAAAGTCACAATCTGGCAGACACTGAGAGAGAGAGAGAGAGAGAGAGAGATACAGAGAGACACAGAGACATACATAACTTGTGTCACATAGAGACACAGAAACAGTGAGATACAGAGAGATACACAGAGATAGAAAGGGAAAGTCAGAGACACACAGACAGAGCGAGAGACACAGAGGCAGAAAGACACACAGAGACAGAGATACAGAGTCAGAGAGACACACAGAGACAGAGAGATACAGAGACAGAGACACACAGCGATAGAGAGATACACAGAGACAGAGACACACAGAGACAGAGAGACATACAGACAGAGACACACACAGAGCTAAAGAGACACAGAGATAGAGAGACATACAGAAACAGAGAGTCACACAGATACAGAGACAGAGATACAGAGATAATGAGAATTACAGAGACAGACAGAGATATAGAAGCAGAGACACACATCGACAGAGAGAGACAGGTTAGTCAGGCAGTGAGGGCTGTGAGGGGCAGGAAGGGCAGTGAAGGCGTGAGGGCAGGGCAGGGAAGGGCAGGAAGGGCGGTGAGGAGTGGGGGGGGAGCCAGGGCAGTGAGGAGCAGGAAGGACAGTGAGGGGTGGGGGGGAGCTGGGCAGTGAGAGGCTGTGAGGGGCAGTGAGGGTAGGTGGGGAACCAAGTCAGTGAGGGGGCAGTAGGGGCAGTGAGGGGCTGGAGGGCCAGTGAGAGGCATTGAGGGCCAGTGAGGGGCAATGAGGGCCAGTGAGGGGCCAGTGAGGGACAGTAAGGCCGGTGTTTCTGGGTGTCTCGCCACTCATTGACTTTCTCTCCTGTAGAAATCGTTCTTTCGACTCTTTCTCTGAGCAGAAGCTTGTCCTCCCGAATGCCACCAAAACCGGCACCACCATCGGGGGGCTGGTCTTCAAGGTACCGTATCCCCGGTGTGCCCCTCCCCCATCTCCCCCTGATACCCCCTGATGTGTAATACCCCCCCTTGTCTAACTGTGACAGCCCTTGACCTGCCCAGGCCCCAGATCCCACCTGCACCTCAGTGACTCCCCTGTATGTGGCGTGATATCTGTGTGTGGTGTGTGACTGTATGCGGTGTGGTGACTGTGCGTGGTATGTAACTGTCAGTGGTGTGTGAATGTGTGTAGTGTGTGACTCTATGTGGTGTGTGACTGTGTGGCGATACTGTGGACTACTCTATCCTCCTCCACCGCCTTTCTTCTCAGCTCAACCTTCCAGGGTTCTGTCCTTGAATGGTTCAGGTCTTAGCTCTCACACTGTCTCCAATTTGTTTCCGACAACGGCTTCTCCTCCAGCCCCCGCACAGTCTCGTGTGGTGTTCTTCAGGCCCCTCCTCTTCAACCTCTATGCTCCCCCTTCGTGACAACATCCACCGAAACCCTCATATGCACATTCGTCACCTCAAGACTCGACTATCGGCCTCCACAACTCTTCCCTTCCACAAGCTGCAAATCATCCAGAACTCCGCAGCTCATGTCCTCTCCTGCATTAGGCTCCATGACCCCCTCACCCCCACCCTCGCTCGGCTCCATTAGTTCCCCATCCCCCAGAAGATAGAGTTCAAAATTCTCGTCCTCATTTTCAATGCCCTCCACAACCTTGCTTCCTCCTACCTCTCCGACCTGCTGACCCCCTATCAGCCTGTCTGCTCCCATCCGCTCAGTAGGCTCTGGCCTGCTCCAGTCACACACCCAACCCACCCTCCCATCGGCGGTTGGGTTTTCAGCGTCTCTGCCCAAAATATTCTGAGCTCCATCCCGCAATCCCTTTGCCTCGCTCCCTTCCTTGTTGCCTTCAAGTCACGACTCAAGACACTCCTTTTTGACCGTATCATCAGCCGCCCTCCTACCCCCTCTGCCTTCTCTCATCCTGGCCCCCCTCCCCCCCACCCCCATGCTCGGGTCCTGATCCGTGATTGTTCAGCACCTTGGGACGTCCTCTCAATGTGAACACATGAACATAGGAATCAGAAGCAGGAGTAGGCCATTCGGCCCCTCGAGCCTGCCCCGCCATTCAATAAGATCATGACTGATCTTCTAACCTAACTCCATCTGCCCACCTTAATCCCATAGCCCTTAATCCCTCTATCTTTTAGAATGAAAGGCACTTTACAAATATAATTTTGTTGTTGTTGTTGTCTATGACTGTGTGTGGTGTGTGACTGTATGTGTTGTTTGACTGTGTGTGGTGTGTGACTGTATGTGGTGTGTGGCTGTATGTGTTGGATGACTGTGTGGTGTGTGACTGTGGTGTGTGACTGTATGTGGTGGGTGACTGTATATGGTATGTGACTGTTTGTGACAGGGACTGTATGTGGTATGTGACTGTGTGTGTGACAGTGACCATGTGGCGTGCGACAGTGTGTGGTGTGTGACTGTGTGTGGTGTGTGACTGTGTGTGACAGTGACTGTGTGACAGTGATTGTGTGTGACAGTGACTGTGTGTGTGGTGTGTGACTGTGTGTGACAGTGACTGTGTGTGGTGTGTGGTGTGTGACTGTTGTGACAGTGACTGTGTGTGACAGTGACCGTGTGGTTTGTGACTGTGTGTGACAGTGACCGTGTGGTTTGTGACTGTGTGTGGTGCGTGACTGTGTGTGATCGTGACTGTGGTTCCTGTCTCAGGATGGAGTTGTCCTCGGGGCTGATACACGAGCCACGTCTGGTGAAGTTGTTGTCGACAAAAACTGTTCTAAAATTCATCGCATCAGCTCGAACATTTAGTAAGTGAACAACCCTCGTGTTACATGGTGCGATGGTTACCCAATGTCTGCTTGGCATGCTTGGAGGGGTGGGATGGGTACACGATGTGTGCGTTTGGCATGTTTGGAGGGGTGTGATGGTTACATGATGCGTGTGCTTGGCGTGTTGCAGCTGCTGCGGTGCTGGGACTGCGGCCGACACGGAGAAGACGACGGAGATGCTGGCCTCAAAAATAGAGCTTCATGCTCTGGCCACCGGCCGGCAGCCACGGCTTGTCATGGCCAGTCGCTTCTTACAGGACACGCTTTTCAGGTAACAGACTGACACATACAGTAACATTTCACGCCATAACATGGGACATGCATAGTAATGTGTCATCCTACAACACGCTACACATACAGTAACACATCATGCCCACAACCATGTGTCAGAGGGACACATACAGTAACCTGAAACCACAGTAAACTTTCCCTATGTCCAACCCTGACCTGGGAGTGTGGACACACAGTGTAGAGGGAGCTTTACTGTGTCTGTAACCCTGACCTGGGAGTGTGGACACACAGTGTAGAGCTTTACTGTGTCTGTAACCCTGACCTGGGAGTGTGGACACACAGTGTAGAGGGAGCTTTTGTGTGTCTAACCCTGATCTGGGAGTGTGGACGTGTGGACAGTGTAGTGGGAGCTTTGCTTTATTACTTACTGGTATAATTGTACAAACTAAGATCTTTCACTTAACCCTAAACCTCTGTGCTCAGGTATCGTGGCCACATCAGTGCGATGCTGCTCCTGGGCGGAGTTGACTGTTCGGGGCCACACATTTATGAAGTTGATCCTTACGGGTCAGTGCAGAAGCTGCCCTTCAGTTCCATGGGTAAGTTTCCTGGTGCTGGGACATGGGGAGCGGGTCACAGGGGTCACTTTGTTACTGTGATGAGCTGATGTCTCTTCTCCACGTGCCACAGGTTCGGGCAATCTTGCTGCAATGGGAGTCTTTGAGGACAGGTATAGGCCGGACATGAATGTGAGTCACTAATGTCATCACAAAGTAACTCCACTTTACACCTCTTGTGTTTAATAACGGATTCCGATCAATAAATACACATAAGTTCACAATGCTACAGCCAGACCAGCACCAGCCCCTTCCTGCACTCCTTTGTCCCCAACTCCCTGCCCTTCCTCACAACCAATGTCACCGGTATGAAGCCCACCACCTGCTACCTTGACCCCCTCCCCACCCAGCTTCTGACCACCCAGCTCTCCCTCTTCTGCCCCCTGCTGACCGACATAGTCAACCAGTCTCTCTCACTCACTCTTCGAGCCCCCCAGTCTGATTTCCCTGCCCACAGCACAGAGACAGCACTCTTCAAAGTCACAAATGACATTGTCTCTCTCTGTGACCAGGGCCTCCTTCTCCTTCAGGATCTCTCCACTGCATTTGACACAGTCAACCATGCCACCCTTCTCCACCGACTCTCCTCTCTCATCCACTACACTCGATGGATTGCACTCGGCTGGTTCGAGTCCCTTTAAACTTCATGTTTTTAGTCCACAAATTCATGTCTCAAAGCGCTTCACAGGATATACTGCAAAGCGTAGTGAATGGTGTACAGTTTACGGTACTATGGGACATGCACAGGATGCAGGAAGTGATGTCAAAGCATACATGTGGGGCAAGAGCAGGGAATGGGATTAGAGTGGAGAGCACCAGTGAGAGTGGGTGAGTGAGTAAATGTATATGTATATGGATAAGTGGGAGAGTGAGTGGGTGGGTGAGGTTGAGTGGTTGAGTGAGTGAGCGAGTGAGTGGGTGAGCGAATGAATGAGTGGGTGAGCGAGGTTGAGCAGTGAGTGATTGAGAGTGAGTTGGTTGGTGGGTGGATGGGTTTGAGTGATTGAATGATTGAGAGTGAGAGGGGTTTGTGTTAATGACTGTCCCTGATTGTCAGGAGGAAGAGGCTAAGATGTTGGTCAGAGACGCCATTAATGCTGGGATCATGAACGACTTGGGCTCCGGCAGCAACATTGACCTGTGTGTGATCACCCAGCACAAGGTGGACTTTATCCGTCCGTACAACATCTCCAATTACAAGGGACAGCGGTCAGTCACACCTCTTTCACAGGGAAATCAATCCTTTAACATTGACCCCCCACTTCCCACAACTCCCCCAACTCCCACACCTACCCCCACCTCTGCCCACTTTTCTCACCTCCCCCATCTCCTCCACCTCCCCCCAACCTCCCTCCATTTATCCCCACTTCCCACAACTGCCCCCACCTACCCCATCTCCCCCAACTCCCCCACCTCCCCCACTTTACCCAACTCCCCCACTTCCTCCACTTCCCCCACCTCCCCCATCTCCTCCACCTCCCCCAACCTACCCCACTACCCCCACATCTCCCACCTACCCCCAACTCCCCCATCTCCCCCCAATCTACACCCCACATCCCCCATTTCCCACTACCTCCCCCTCCCCCATCTCCTCACCTCCTTCCACCTCCCCCAACATCCCCCATCTACCCCCCACATCCCACCTCCCACTACCTCCGCCCCACCCACCCACTCCTATCTCCCCCACCTTGCCACACGTGTATGAGGGGGAAGATCGAGAGAGTGTGAAGTGGGAGGATGGAGAGCGGGGAGGGGGAAAATGGAGAGAGTGTGAGGGTGGAGGATGGAGCGAGTATGAGGTGGGAGGATGGAGAGGATCGAAGGTGTGAAGGTGGGTGAATGGGTGGATGGAGGGGGTGAGGACGATTTGTGGGGGAGGGGTTGAGAAGCAGGACGAAGAGGGTAAGGGGCTAAATGGGGTGTGGGGGATAAGAAGGATAATGGAGAGGGTGCGGAGGATTGTGGGGGTTGAGAAGGAGGATTGAGGAGTGGAGGGGGAGAGTGAGAGATAAGAAGCAGGATGGGGAGGAGGAGGGGTGAGGGGAGGATAGAGAGGGTGAGGGGGTGAGGGGAGGATGGAAGGGGTGAGGGGAGGATGGAGAGGATGAGGGGTGATGGGAGGATGGAGAGGGTGAGAGGTTGAGGGGGGTGAGGGGAGGATGGAGAGATTGAGGGGGTGAGGGGAAGATGGAGAGGATGTGAGGGAGGATGGAGAGGGTGGGAGGGAGGATGGGGAGGATGGAGAGGGTGAGGGGGTGAGGGTCCGGGTTGTGGTTGCCTTGACGATGTGGTTCTGTTGCAGACTGGGGAGGTACCGGTATCCGAGAGGCTGTACAGCGGTGCTGAGTAAAGATGTCACTCCCCTCAGCTTCCAGCTGATACACGAGGAGGTGCAGGAAATGCAGATCTCATAGAGCGACCATCAACCTGTACAGCACTGTGTAACACAGCCTGTACTGTGTACTGTGTAACACAGCCTGTACTGTGCACTGTGTAACACAGCCTGTACTCTGCACTGTGTAACACAGCCTACACTGTGTACTGTGGAACACAGCCTTCATTGTGTACTGTTTAATACACCCTGTACTGTGCACTGTGTAACACAGCCTGCACTGTGTAACACAGACTGTACTGTGTAACACAGACTGTACTGTGTAACGCAGACTGTACTGTGTACCACAGCCTGTAGTGTGTACTGTGTAACACAGCCTGTAGTGTGTACTGTGTAACACAGCCTGTACTCTGCACTGTGTAATACAACCTGTACTGTGCACTGTGTAACACAGTCTGTACTCTACTGTGTAACACAGCCTACACTGTGTACTGTGGAACACAGCCTGCATTGCATTGTGTACTGTTTAACACAGCATGTACTGTGTAACACAGCCTGTAATGTGCACTGTGTAACATAGCCTGTACTATGCACTGTGTAACACAGGCTGTACTGTAGAGTGTAGAACTTTACAATTAATTTTCAGATTACATTAAAATATTTTTTCTGAAATGAAAACCGCCTTTAGTTGTATTTCCAATGCTTAATAAAGGATGCAGATAATATTGTCATTTGGTATACGTTATAGTATCTATTCCATTTGGCGTTCATTCTGTAACATAAACATTGTCCCTCCTTTCCCTTCCTGTCCATTATTTCATTCCCTCCCTGTCTCTGGAACCTAAACCCTGATGCCCATCCCCTCTCCCCTATCTGCATTTCCCTTCAAAATGTCCGCTCCCTCTCCAATAAAGCTGTCCGTCATTTCCCAAGCTTCCCTTGGTCTATCCCCCCTATTCCTCTGGCTGTTTCTCCTCAACAACAACAACAAGATTCCATTTATAGAGCGCCTTTCACGTCGGGAGGACGTCCCAAGGCACTGTACAGTTGGGTCAGGACCCGAGCATTGGGGGGAAATGGTCAGGATGAGGGGAGGGAAGGGAGGGAGCGAGTAGGGGATAGAGAGTCGAGAGGGGAGCTGAAGGCACGGTCAAAGAGAAAATTCTCCTTTGAGCACTTCACCTTTTACCATCCTCCCTCCCTTTCCCTCAAAATCCTCCTAGTTTATTGCTCCCCCCACCCCCCCAATCTCAAAACTCCTGGCTCCTTCCTCACTGATATCTCCTCCTTTCTCCCTATCCCTCTGCACTGAACACCTGCTCATAATGGGTGATTTCAACCTCCACTAAACTCCCCTTGCCCCACCTCTTCCAACTTCACTGCCCTCCTCTCCTCCCGAAACCTCACCCTCTACATCAACTCACCGACCCACAATCATGGCCACCCCCTCGACCTCTTCATCACTTATGGCCTTGACTTTTCCGACCTGTCCATCATGGTCAAGGCCATCTCCGACTACATCCTCATCTCCCTCTCCTCCCATATCACTCTCCCCTCTTCCAAGCCCTTCACCATCTTTTTACGCCCCTGGAGAAAGCTTCCCCGAGTCCTTCATAAATGCCTTCTCTTCCTCGGACCTCCTCTCCCTCTGGCCCTGCACCCGCGGAGATCCTGAGATCAAGCTGCTGAATGACTGTCTCTCCAAATCCTTCAAGTCCCTGGCTCCCCTGAAATCCAGGATTGTTTCCAAATTCACCTGGTTCAACAGACACCTTTGATCCCTAAAACTAAAACCCAGACACTCGAGCGCAGATGGCATTAATCCTGTCTCACAATCCACCGTCTTGGATTGAGATCCCACCCTCGCTCGCCTCCACTGGCTCCCCATCCCCCAGAGGATCGATTTCAAGATCCTCATCCTCACCTACAAGGCCATTCACGGCCTTGCTCCCTCCTACCTCTCCGACCTACTATCCCCCTACCTACCTGCCCGTACCCTCCGTTCCTCTGGCTCCAGTCTGCTTCACATCCCCCGCCCTAACCTCCCTACCATCGATGGCCGGGCCTTCAGCCTCTCAGCCCCGAGGCTCTGGAACTCTATCCCCCAGTGCCTTCGCCGCCTCCTCCCTTTCCTCCTTCAAGGCCGGTCTCAAGACCTTTCTCTTTGACTGTGCCTTCAGCTCCCCTCTCGACTCTCTAACCCCTCCTCACTCCCTCCATTCCCTCCCCTCACCCTGACCATTTCCCCCTTGCTCGGGTCCTGACCGAACTGTACAGCGCCTTGGGACGTCCTCCCGACGTGAAAGGCGCTCTATAAATGGAATCTTGTTGTTGTTGTTGTTGTCAGCTGTGGTTCGAGCGTCTCCACAACTACCGCCTCTCAAAACATCTGCTTGGGTGCATCCTCTTCCCCCAGATCCCCTTCCACACTCCCCTGGACCATCAACACTACACCCATCTTCCACCATGGCCCTCCCAACACTCCTTTGCCCCAATTATTCCCACCTCCCTCTCAACCGTCCTGTCCCAGATGAAGGCCACTGCCTGCTGCCTCGACTCCGCTGTCCACCCAGCTGCTGGTCACTCAACTCCCCCTCCTCTCCCCACTGCTGGCCAACACAATCAACCAGTCACTCTCCTCAGGTTCTGGTCCTCTCCCCCTTAAAACAGCTGTCATCATTCCCCTCCTCAAATACCCAGCTTGTTCCCTCCAACCTCACAAATTACCAACCCATTTCCATTTTTCCTTCCAGCCCAACATCCGGTCCCTGATCAGGACCGCCTTCCTCCACCTCTGTCACATTGTCCACCTCTGAACCTACCTTATCCCAGATGCAGCAGAAACACTCATCACCTCCCGACTGGACTTCTCAAATGCCCTCTTTGCCAATCTCCCCAGCTCCACTATGCACAGGATCCAACTGATCCAAAACTGCCGCCCGCAAACTCACTCCCACAAAACTCCATACCCATCACACCAGTTCTAACCAAGATCCACTGACTCCCCATTACTGAATGGGTCAATTTCAAGATCCTCACACTAGCTTTCAAATCCCTTCATACCCAGGCATCTCTCCAATCTGCTTACCACCCAACACACAACCCACTGCCTCCGCTCAACTGGCTCCGGGCTTTTGCATGTCCCCCGTTCCACCATTGGTGGCAGTGCTTTCAGCCACTAAGCCCCGAAACTTTGGAACACTCTTCCCCTATCCCTCTGCCTTGCCCTTCCTTTCCCATTTTCGGGTAGCGCCTGAAGACCTTCCTATTCCACCATGCCTACGGTCACCTCCCCCTCCCCCCGGCTTGGAGTCGTGCTCTGGGACACTATCCTGTGCGAGGGGCACTGTGTAAATGCAAGTTGTGGAGTCCTGTAGCTCAGTGGTTAGAGCCTTCGCCTTGCAAGCGAGAGACCTGAGACCTGAGTTCAGGTCCAGGCAGAGGGCGAAACCTTGGGCAAGTTTCCTTACTCCACACAGAGCCTAATAATAATCCCTCCAAAACCAAAAACAATAATAAATCGGTCATTTTCAATCTACGACTGTTTGTGGGACACTGCTGTGCGCAATTGGCTGCCGCGTTCGCCCACAAATATACAGTTAATTCACTTTACAGTGTGTTCTGTGAAGCGCTTTGGGACGTCCTCCCGACGCGAAAAGCACTATATCAAATGCAAGGATTATTATTATTATTGTTGTTGTTTGCCCAGTAGCTGTACCTCTGCCCCCCCCATCCCACCACCACCCCGCTCGCTCTTGCCTTCCTCCTGCACTCGGGACTTTCCAAAGAAAATCCAGTTTGGCAGCAAACAAACCGTGGAATCCCCTCCTGAGGGAGTGGCTTCCTGTCGCTGCTCAGAGCAAACAGTCTTCACAGGGGAAGCTGTGGCTGTGGCTGAGGGCAGACGGCTGCTCTCCTCGTCACCAGTCACCAGGCAGCCCGGCCTCGCACAGCTCACAAAACCAACCTGGCCTGTCAGTGCCGTGTGTTACTGACACCTACAGTACACACTGCCCCACTGCCTGCAACACACACACACACACTGTCCCACTGCCTGTTACACACACCTACACTGCCCCACTGCCTGTTACACACATATACACACACACGCTGTCCCACTGCCTGTTACACACACCTACACTGCCCCACTGCCTGTAACACACACACACACACTGCCCCACCGCCTGTTACACACACCTACACTGCCCCACTGCCTGTTACACACATATACACACACACACACTGTCCCACTGCCTGTAACACACACACACACACACACTGTCCCACCGCCTGTTACACACACCTACACTGCCCCACTGCCTGTTACACACATATACACACACACACTGCCCCACTGCCTGTTACACACACACACACTGCCCCACTGCCTGTTACACACATACACACACACACTGCCCCACCGCCTGTAGGCACACACACACACTGCCCCACCGCCTGTTACACACACACACACACTGCCCCACTGCCTGTAACACACACACATACACTGCCCCACTGCCTGTTACACACACACTACCCCACTGCATGTTACCACACACACATACACTGCCCCACTGCCTGTTACACACATATACACACACACACTGTCCCACTGCCTGTTAAACACACATCCACTGCCCCACCGCCTGTTACACCCACACACACACTGCCCCACTGCCTGTTACACACACACACAGTGCCCCACTGCCTGTTACACACACACACGCATTGCCTTACTGCCTGTTACACACGCTGCCCCACCGTTACTCAACAACAACAATTTGCACTTATATAGTGCCCTCCATGCCGGGCGGCATCTCAGAGTTTAACAATGGTGGAACCCAAAGCCAAGGGGGAAGGTGACCATAGGCACAGTGGGAAAGGAAGGTCTGCAGAGGTGACCTGACGATGGGGAAGGAAGGGGAGAAAGCAAGGGGTTGAGGGAGGGATTTCCAAAGTTTTGGGGCATGGTGGCTGAAGGCACGGCTGCCGATGGTGGAGCGGAGGATGACTGGACCCAGTAGAGTGGAGGCAGCGCTCTGCTGTGGGAGAGAGGAGGTTAGAGAGATTGGTGGGGCAAGGAATAGAGGGATATAAGCACCAGAGTGAGGATCTTGAAGTGGATCCACTCTGTGACTGGGAGCCAGTGGGGTTTGGCCAGGACTGGAGTAATCGGGATACGGAGGTCAGTGCGGGAGAGAATGCAGGCGGCGGAGTTTTGAATGCACTGGATTTGTGAATAGTGGAGGAGGAGTGACCGGCGAGGAAGGTGTTAGAGCTGTCCAGCTGAGAGGTGACAAAGGCACGGACAAGGGTTTCGGCAGCTTTTGGGGTGAGGTATTGTCGGAGATGGGCAATGTGGTGGAGGCAGAAGAAAGCGGTGCTGGTCAGGGACCGGATATGGGGGAGGAAGGATAACTGGGGATCGAACCTGATGCCTAAGTTGTGCATGGGTTCGGAGAACTTTAAGGACAGGTCAGGTAGGTTGAGGAAGTTGGAACCGTGGGACAGAAGATGTCGGTGGGAGCCAAAGAGTATGGCTTCCGTCTTGTTGACGTTTAACTGCAGGACATTTGCACTCATCCAGCTCCTGATGTCCGACAGACAAGCTGACATAATAATCAGGGGACTGGGGGTCGCAGCTGGAGGTGGAAAAGTAGAGTTGAGTGTCATCTGCATACATGGATTTATTGTATGTTTACTGTATATTTATTGTTTGTTTGTAGTATATTGACTGTATGTTTACTATGTTTACAGTATTTCTGAGTTTCAGGCTGTGATAATGTGATGGTGTTATGTTTACTGTATATTTACTCTATGTTTACTGTATGTTCAGTGTATTTCTGAATTTCAGGCTGTGATGATGTGATGATGTGATGGTATTTACGTGATGTAAACAGTCTTCACTGGGAGGCTGTGGAATGTGTTTGAAACAAAGCTTTAATCAGTTGAGACAGGCGGACGCCATAACCAGGTCCACTTCATTGCAAATCAGTGGGTCAGTGATGATACTTCAACCTCACAGAGCCCCACTGGAGGGGGTCTGACCGAGTGACCCCCGGCTCCCTCTCTCACTCCGCTGCGTACTTGTAGTGAAGATCACCCACATCCTCCTGCGAAACTTTAATCCAGCCGTCCTCTCGCATGTGATACACTGTAAACACAGACACAGTCACCAGACAGTCTCGCACTGTGACACACTGTAAACACAGTCACCAGACAGTCTCTCACTGTGATACACTGCAAACACAGTCACCAGTCTCGCACTGTGATACACCGCAAACACAGTCACCAGACAGTCTCGCACTGTGATACACTGTAAACACAGTCACCAGACAGTCTCTCACTGTGATACACTGTAAACACAGTCACCAGTCTCGCACTGTGATACACTGTAAACACAGACCCAGTCTCGCACTGTAATACACTGTAAACACAGTCACCAGACAGTCTCTCTCTGTGATACACTGTAAACACAGACACAGTCACCAGACAGTCTCGCACTGTGATACACTGTAAACACAGACACCAGACAGTCTCTCTCTGTGATACATTGTAAACACAGACACAGTCACCAGACACTCTCTCACTGTGATACACTGTAAACTTTGTGTGGAGTCCTGTAGCTCAGTGGTTAGAGCACTCGCTTTGCGAGCGAGACACCTGAGTTCAATTCCAGGCAGAGGGCGAAACCTTGGGCAAGTTTCCTTACTCCACACAGAGCCTCATAATAATCCCTCCAAAAACCCCAAAACAATAATAAATTGGTCATTTTCAATCCACGACTGTTTGTGGGACATTGCTGTGCGCAATTGGCTGCCGCGTTCGCCCACAAATATACAGTCAATTCACTTTACAGTGTGTTCTGTGAAGCGCTTTGGGACGTCCTCCCGACATGAAAAGCGCTATATCAAATGCAAGGATTATTATTATTATTAAACACAGTCACCAGCCAGTCTCTCACTGTGATACACAGTAAACACAGTCACCAGTCTCTCCCTGTGATACACTGTCAACACAGACGCAGACACCAGCCAGTCTCTCACTGTAATACACTGTAAACACAGACACCAGACAGTCTCTCACTGCGAGAGAGGTGAGGGCAGGAGCAGAAAGCATTTATGGAGATGAAGTGGCTGTTGGTTAAGTAGGGCTCAAACCAAGGAAGTGTAGTCTCACTAAGATGGATGAGGGAAGACAGGCGGTGGAGATGGATGGTATGATATACTGTGAATGCGGCAGAGAGATCCAGGACGACAAGGATGCAGAGGGAGCCCTGGTCCCAGAGGGAGAGGATGCCATTTCTGATTTTGATGAGCGCTGTCTCTTAGAATTAGAGCTTGGATGGTGAGACCAGAACACACTTGTTCACACAGAGTCTGCTACGAACCAATAAATTACCAGAACAGACTTGATGGGCTGAGTGACCTCCTGCTGATTCTGTCCTGAATATAAGAAATGTTCGGCAGATATTGGAGTTCTACCTTATAGCTCACAGTTACTCACTGTTCACTTTGCCCCCAGAGTAGGCATCGCGGTGCGTGGCATGGTAGATCGCTCTCTGTGCCAACTGATAGGCCTCCTCCACCTCCATGTCCTGTCTGTGTCCACTGTCCAGAACACCATAGGCGTAGGTGCTGCCCGACCCTGTGCAGAACCTTTCCCCAGAGAGTCTCATACCTGAATCACCCACGTAGTACAGTTGAGGGCCCTAAAATGTTAAATAAATCTCATTCTTTGTCTGATAACCTTCTACAGATTGTGTAATAAGTGCTCTGAGACACTACCCTGTGTGGAGGGTGATATGTAAGTGCGGGTTGCTATTGTTAAAACATTAAAACAGGACAAACTGCAGAGGTCCAGATACAGGGAGGGAACAGTGAACATTACACTCTGGTTATAACAACAAACTGCATTTAGATTGCACCTGTCATTTTGGGAGGTACCCCCAAGGTACTGGATAGTCGAGCATTTGCACCTGAACTGGGGGTTGGATTTGGGAGGGGTGGGGCTGCGGGAGGGGTAAGCTACCCAAAGGTGCAATCAAAGAGACAGACCTTGACAGAAGCAAAGGAAGAGGTGGAGGGACTCCAAGATTGAGTTCCATAGGGTGGGAGCAGACAGATTGAAAGCCTGACCGCTGATTTTGGAGTGGGCAGGTCGGGGATGTGAAACAGGCCAGTGGAAGCTGAGTGGAGGGAACGGGTGGGTTGGTAGGATTTAAGATGGTCACAGAGCTCACGGTGGGGCAAGACCATAGAGGACATTAAAGGTGAGGATGATGATCTTGAACTCAATGCTCTGGGGCATGGAGAGCCAGATGAGGATGGGTGTAATTGCTTTACGGAGCTTGGTGCGGGAGAGAATGCTACTTCCCAGAGAGAGAGGATGCTATTTCTGATTTTGACGAGCGCTGTTTCTTAGAATTAGAGTTTGGGTGGTCTGTAGCCAACTTGTGGAGGGAAGAATTGGGATGTAGAGCAAATTGGCAGAGTGCTAGGCTAGCCTGGACATGATTAATTCATGGATACTGGTCTCAGTGGCTGAAGGGGAGAGGCAGTGGCAGAGGTGGGCAATGTTGCAGAGGTGGGGGAAAGCTGAATGGGTCAGAGTTTGAATGTGAGATTTGAAGAACAGTTGAGAGTTGAAAGAGACACAGAGGTTCTGCATTGGCTCAGTGAGGTGGAGTGAGCATCCATGGCTGGTGATGATGCCAGCACCTGAGGTGTGGAGATGCTGACTAAAGCCAATCAGGAGGGCCTTGGTCTTGTCAATGCTCAACAACAACAACAACTTGGATTTATACAGCGCCCTCCACACTGGACACTCAGAGCACTTTACAGTAACGGATCCGGGGACCAAGCCAGGGGGAGGGGGGGGAAGGTGACCAAAGGCGTGGTTGAAAAGAAAGGTCTTCAGCAGAGACCTGAAAATGGGAAGGGAGGGAGTGAGACGAAGGGAATGAGGAAGGCAGTTCCAAAGCCTCGGGAAATAGTGGCTGAAGGCACGGCTGCCAAGGATGGAGCGGAGGAATCGGGGGATGAGGAGGAGGCCAGACCCGGAGGAACGAAAGCAACGGGTACTGTTTTGAGGAGAGAGGAGGTCAGAGAGGTCGGGGGGTGCAGAGGAGTGCAGGGACTTGAATACAAGGGTGAGGATCTTGAAATCGATCCACTCTGGGACACGCAGCCAGTGCAGTCTGGCCAGGACTGGGGTGATTGGGAAGCGGAGTTTGGTGCGGGTGACAATGCGGGCGGCAGAGTTTTGAATGATTTGGATTTTATGGATGGTAGTGGATGGCAGACTGGTGAGCAGGGATTGGAGTAGTCCAGCCGAGAGGTGACAAAGGCATGGACCAGGGTTTCAGCAGCTTTTGGGGAGAGGTATTGGCTCAACTGGAGAAGGTGGGATGTCACCCAGGACTTGATATCTGTCAGACAATCCTCCAGGACAGCAGTGGTCCTGGAGTTGGGTGGAAGCAGAGAGATATTGGGTTTCATCCGTATAAATGTGGAAGTTGACCCCATGCCTGCAGACGACATAGCCAAATGGGAGCTTGTAGATATTAAAGAGGAGAGGATAGAGCCCTGAGGGAGTTGGTGGAGAAGGTCAAAGGCGGCAGAGAGATGGTCGAGGGCGGTAGAGAGATCAAGAAGGACAAGGAGGCAGAGAGAGCCCTGGTCACAGAATATCATTGGTGACCAGGACAGTCTTGGTGCTGTGGACAGTGTGGAAGCCAGATTAGAGGGTTCATCCAGGCAGAGGAAAGAGCGAAGCTGGGAAACTATGACTCATTTCAGTACCTTGGAGAGAAAAGGCGGGTTGGAATGAGACGGTACGCAAGAACAGGGATGGCCTGAGGGAAGATTTTTGAGGAGGGGATGACAACCGCTGTTTTGAACAGGTAGGGAACTGTGGACAGAGTGAGGTTAGATCTCAGTTGGAGGATTGCGTGGAAAAGGCAGATCCACTGGGATGTCGCGCGGAGGGTGTGTGAGTTATGAAGAGAGTTGAGAAGTTGGAATGTGTTATAGTTGCTGAGAGGCTGAGTGTGATGGAGGTGCTGCAGAAGGTGAAGGGAATTGGCACGGAGAGTGCTGGGATCTGTCCTGTCAGGCACTAGTCAGGAATGTGGGGCAGATTAATGAGAATCACAAAAACACACATAGGCTGTGGGTAATGTGTATCCGGTGCTGGGTCAAGGTGGTGTATGTACATACAACACTCTGTGTACCTGGTTAGGCTGTTGTGTGCACAAACACAGTGCTGTGTACCTGGATCAGGATGGTGTGTGTACACACACTGCTGTGAACTGGGGTTAGGTTGATGTGTACATACACAGAGCTGTGTACTGGTATCAGGGTGGTTTTGTACACAGTGCTGTATACTGGAGTAAGGTATACACACACATTGCTATGTACCAGGGTCAGGGTGGTGTGTGTACACATTGCTGTATATTGGGGTGGTGTGTACACACACAGTGTTGTGTACCGGGGTGGGGTGGTGTGTACACACACAGTACTGTGTACTGGTGTCAGGCTGGTGTGTACCGGGGTGGGGTGGGGTGTGTACACATAGTGCTATGTACTGGGTTGGGTGGGTGTAAACACACAGTGCTATGTATCGCGGAGATGTACTTACCTTCTTGTCCCAGCCACAGACCATGGTGCCCATGGAGAGGCCCATTCCTCTGTACTCAGACACCATGTTGGCCAGCAGTTTGGAGGCTGCACAAACCGAGATTCGCTGCTTGTTCCGCAGCCGGTAAATCCTGAACCACAAGCGTGAGGTTAGAGCAGGCATCAGAGACCTCACCTCTCACAGCATGGGCACTTCATCACACTCACTGCTCACACTCACTGCTCACACTCACTGCTCACATGTATCTGCAGTGCTTTCACACTCACTGCTCACACTCACTGCTCACACTAACTGCTCACACTCACTGCTCACATTCACTGCTCACACTCACAGCTCACATTCACTGCTCACATGTACCTGCCTGTATATGTGCTTGCTCACTCACTGATCACACTTGCCCACTGCTCGCACTCACTGCTCACACGCATGTGCAGTGCACACTCACACTCACTGTTCACACGTACCTGCAATGCATGGCTAACTTGCGTTCCCAGTACACACAGTCCGCTGCACTGCCTGACATGGTGCCCAGTAAATAGGGGTTAATTTCGATCACCTTATTGAAAGTCTGGGTATCTAAACACAGAGAACAGTCAGACAGTGAAACTCAGACACAGATACAGTCAGACAGTGAAGCTCAGACACAGATACAGTCAGACAGTGAAGCTCAGACACAGTCAACAACAACAACAAGATTCCATTTATAGAGCGCCTTTCACGTCGGGAGGACGTCCCAAGGCGCTGGACAGTTGGGTCAGGACCTGAGCAGGGGGGAAATAGTCAAGGGGAGGGAAGGAGCGAGGAGGGGATAGAGAGTTGAGAGGGAAGCTGAAGGCACAGTCAAAGAGAAAAGTCTTGAGACCGGCCTTGAAGGAGGAAAGGGAGGAAGCGGCGAAGGCACTGGGGGAATTAGTTCCAGAGCCTCGGGGCTAAGAGGCTGAAGGTCCGGCCACCGCTGGTAGGGCGGTTGAGGCAGGGGATGTGGAGCAGACCGGAGCCAGAGGAACGGAGGGTACGGGCAGGTAAGTAGGGGGATAGTAGGTCAGAGAGGTAGGAGGGAGCGAGGCCGTGAATGGCCTTGTAGGCGAGGATGAGGATCTTGAATTCGATCCTCTGGGGGATGGGGAGCCAGTGGAGGCGAGCGAGGGTGAGGGTGAGGGTGAGGGTGGGAGTGATGT